GTGGATTGGCATTTTAGAAGCGCTATTCGCTCCAAACTTCACTCATAGATTAGATGGGTGGTCCAACATTGCAAGGTTGTCAAATTCCAGACCAGTTTGAGGGGACGCTGCCTTTAAGTGCGCAGCATGAAAGCTTTCCATTTTGCTTCATAAAAGCGCAGGCATCCTTACCAAATGCGGAAGCTCTGACTTGCACCCTGCAAGAAACGTGACTCCTCATCCAGCACGAAGAAGCCTCCTGTGAAAGAGCTTTGCTCACGAAGGCGGTTCAGACTTTTTGGGTGCGGATAGGCACCCACCTGAAACAAAATTGTTTGTTAGTGTTGTACAAAATGGAAGTATAACATAATACAAAGAGCTCTTTCGGGCCGCTCTGCACGTCCAGCTCGACTGGTCGGAGCCCAGTATGGGCTAGTCCTTGTTCATTGAAATCTACAATGCTTCCGTAACGCATCTTGTAGATGACCTCATTTCGCGCGGTATTGCATTGTACTATATAGAACATCAGTGCACTGCAACAGACTTACTCTGTCAAAGGGAAAATAAAAATCAGAGTGATGTACCCCAAGAAGTAGTTATATTGGCGCCGGGTGATGTTGTCGGTTCGGCCAAATTGTCTGTAGATGGAGTGAAGAGTGGACCTGATGCTTTCGTCAGTGGCGATAGCTCTTGCAACAGCATATGGTTCGTATTCCTCAAGCAGCTATTTCAAGCACCACAACCAATATTCATGAGCACCAATAAAGAAACCTTTACTGCCGGCTGCCTAATTGCTCGATAAGAGGACAGCGACTTTCCCTCTTCTCGCAATTTACGAAGAATGTGTGCAATTCGGTCGCGCCCTTGCGTTATCGCTGGGAGTCTTTGCTTTCCTGCGGCTAAAGAGAACAATTTCGCTGAGTTTTTTTTCATTATTCCTAACCAGCATCGATATGTACGCTCAGAAAATCGTAGAACCCAGCTATTGCCTTGGCAAAGCTCATACGTGTTTCCACAGGGATTCGGCTCTTCTGAAGCTTACTGAAGAACTCGAACAGTATCGCCGACGAGTAGATCCCATCGTCCATTGACACCGCTTGGCCGAGCCTGAATGTTAGCTTAGTGTTAACATCAACCAAATTAGAATATTTTTTTGGGGAATGCTGCTTGTAAGTTGGGTAGAATGATGAGTTTTACCATGGTATTTCATTGATAGGAAACGAGCATCTGGGTTTGGGAGAAGTTCAGATATGGCTCTAACTAGGTTTCTTGACTATGTTTAATGGCTTACGGTTGCTTACGGTACCTTGTTACCAAAGTCTGAATCTCAGCTTTTGAATTATAGGACTTCTCGACACATCATCGTGTACGGGTACAAATATGCATAAAAGTGCCGAAACGTGTTTGTCGAAGGCGAAAGTAATGCGGACGGGTTGTGCCTTTGACTTCAGATCACCACAGTGGCAATATTGCCGAGGTG